GGTTTTTCAGCTGGTTTAAAAAAATCTCGAAAACTGGTCGTTTCTTGGAACGACAATGCGGAAGGCTACGAAACGGTGGAAGAAAAGAAAATTGCTCATTTGTGAACATTTTCGGGCTTGCTTACCATCCCCCTCTTTTTTTTTCTCTCTTTCGTAGCCTCGCACCTTCTGGTTTCCTGAAGCTGCGCACCACCTAGGTCAACAAAAAATACACCTGTGGCTAGCATCTGTCCACATCGTTTACATTGTCTATACAGCTATTGAGAGCGGTGCCTCAGCATGAGTGAGAAATTTCAGAGAAGACTAGCGAATAATCATAAGTTTGGCTAGTTGGTATTGTAGCGTGTTTAGTACAGTGCAAAATAGAATACAGAAACAGCCAAGAAAAACACAAGTCGCCGCACCCACTCCATGTCTCTGCTGTTTATCTCGTTTTCGTGATTTCTCCCAGCACTAAACATGGGACGTCTCAAAACTCGTCCCGACAAGGCGGCAGTGGTTTGTTACCTGGAAGACGCAGTGTCAAACATAGCATTCCGTATCTGAAGCATAATTTTTTAACGGGCATCTTGGATCCTTGTATTCGGGTGTACGTATTCCAATGTCATCCCTTCTTAGAGCAGAAAGGTATGTGGAACGCAGGAACGTCTTCGAACACATGTGTGCGTGCTACGCCATTATGCCTGTTCGCTTGTTCCACTCAGGAGGACCTCAAGCGGATACTACAAAGCATGCAAGGCTTCGCTTGTTCGAAGCATTTTAGGTAACTGTAACATGACAGTTACTTGCATATCCTTGTGCAAGAATTGAAAAGTTTACTATAGTGCCCCTCTTTTTTTGGTGCCGCGAATTCAACGCCTTCTGCTAAACTGTTTTACATTAGTCATTCGCTGACGTATTTGGGGACTTATATGCATCTTGAATGAGCTGGGTCTAAACCACGTTTTTCTCAAGTTAATGTAGTTATCTGTAAAAGTGACAGCATTATCTAACATTCTAGAGTGTGTGTGTGTGTGTGTGTGTGTGTGTGTGTGTGTGTGTGTGTGTGTGTGTGTGTGTGTGTGTGTGTGTGTGTGTGTGTGTGTGTGTGTGTGTGTGTGTGTGTGTGTGTGTGTGTGTGTGTGTGTGTGTGTGTGTGTGTGTGTGTGTGTCAGGACTGTTTCGTTCATGACACCTAATTTTTTTTCTTTATTGCAGAAAAAGAGTCGACGCAATATACAAAACGCACGTGTGGCCAAATGACAAAATATAGTGAATTGTTTCCCTTATGTGATTTTTTAGAAAAAAAAAGCAACATCGTGTTCGAAAGGATGCTTGAATAAATTTTACTAGGGAGCAGCAGGAAAGTAGTGAGCAGTTGAAAAAGTTTTCATCACGACCTTCCTCTTTCTTTCAGGGTACGACGGCGTGGCATGTGTGCACGGCTGTATTATCTGTGTATAAAGAAGCATCGACTTCTCCGTAAGCACGTCGGGATGTTGGGATAAACCGGTGGGATGAAAACTGTTTCTGGTATCGTTGAAGATGACAGAGGAAACGGTGACTCTCTGCTCCCACCATGCACCATATATTTTATTCTTTTCATTTTATGAGTATACATATGCAACGGTGCAGTGCAACAGACTGCACATATGCAATGGTGCAGTCTGCGGTTATGGTAGAGAGTTGCCTATGGTGGAGTGTTCCATTTGTGACCACAGCAATTGCATTTATATGGAGGCAAAAGTAGGGACACGTATGTCTGCGTACGTTAAAGAACAGCGGATGGTCTCTTTCTATTCAGAATCACCTGGATTTTGCTGAACGCATAAAGCATTATGGTTACCTTTTCGAAAAAAGAGGTCCTCGTTAGTAGAGCCTACTTGGTCGCATGAAAGAGAATCAATTCCCCATCGTTAAGGCAAGAAAAAAAATTGGCAGATCCCACGTACCTGAGAATCCACGTTTTGTGAAGCATGTGCAAGAAAGGTGACCGTGTTCCAAATTTTTCATGAAGTGACACGTACTGAATTGACGCTAAAGTAACGTACAAATGTCACACATACAGACATATGCTGAAGAATTGCAGATGTTTATAAAACCAATCGTTTGCACTTGCGCAACGATGCCAACTGGAACATGTGTATTAGCAACATTAGAAGCTGATATGAAGCGCTGGTGCTCGCGAAGATGCTTGCCCTGGACACTCCCACATAAATCAACTTCAGCGCATGGCAAGTCACCACATCTGACATTAGCCCGACGTGACGGATGTATAAAAAGAGTACATATGTAATGTTTATCAAATAGGTTAGGCTGCACTGAAACCATTACTAACATTTTACGAAGATCAGCGTCTATATCAAAAGTAGTTCCGAGACTTGGCATTGCTTTGTGGTAAAATGCTTCACTGGCACCCAGAATGCTTGGATTTGATTCCAGCTGGAACTTCTCGGGCTGACGCTACCGACGTCCGGTATTTCTTAACACTTGCGCGTTAAAATTGCCTATGTGTGTTCTCGTCGTTCCTGAGCAGATACCAGGTGTCAATCACCTGTGGCACATGCCCACCCGTGGGTATGTGCCACTTTCTGGCGGGAAGTGTTTGACGACGTACGTGACGAGTGTGACATTATTCATGTCTTCACAAGCGCGTCGTATTCGTCAAACCATCTTACCCTCTCATGCTAATTTTGGTTCACGCCAAGTAAATGGTGTGACCACGAGAGCACCCAAACGTAAGTGGATAGATAGATAGATAGATAGATAGATAGATAGATAGATAGATAGATAGATAGATAGATAGATAGATAGATAGATAGATAGATAGATAGATAGATAGATAGATAGAGCGATATGCTCAAAGTCGCCAAAGTTCGCTAAGAAATGCTTCGCATTTAAAAATCGCGGCACATCTACAGAGTGAATGATGATGAGTGGGGCAACGTGCTCGTAAGTCCGTGTGCGCTGTCGTCACTCCGTCTGTGCGCCCGTCACTCCGTCTGTGCGCCCGTCACTCCGTCTGTGCGCCCGTCACTCCGTCTGTGCGCCCGTCACTCCGTCTGTGCGCCCGTCACTCCGTCTGTGCGCCCGTCACTCCGTCTGTGCGCCCGTCACTCCGTCCGTGCGTCAAGAACAGACACAGACGACGGACGGACGCGTCCAGCAGACGACTCGCGGATCGCCGATAAAATACTCGGAAGCTTCACTCTATTCATCATCATTCACTCTTTGGATATGCTGTGAGGTGGTTACTGCATACATGCATATATACAGGTGATGACCAACCCCCACCTTGAAAAGTTTCGACCTTCAAATGAATTACCCCAAAGGTCCTTCTAGTCCGGTATTTTTGAATTTCAAGATGATGAGGAATCTTTAACACAGATATTGCGACCTTTAACATAGATATTTTGATGACCTTAGGTAACGTGGTCGAAAATTTCCGTAACCCTGCAATGTGACATTCCATGTAATCATATCATAGATTTGGCACGTCAACCCAAGTTAATCTTACGCAATACATAGAAAAACACATGCGCGAACAAAATTGTAGGGTGGACACATTCCTGTGGTCTGCCCCCGAAATGAATTTATTGCCACGCTCCCAGTGGCGCCTGTTTTGATATGCACTCGCAAGGCGGAAACAGATGGTTTGTTTGCTATAATCAGACGTTATATTCAGCGCAGTGAAGCACCCTGGTGATGTTTCCAGTTTTTTTGTAAGCTTACAATTATACAGTGTGCTTTCCTACTATTCCGGTTGTATAAGTATCGTTCCCACTTTTCTTGCAACAAATTCTTCGTCTCGTAGCCGCTGGAAAGTGAATGTTTTTAACCTTAGTCGGTGGCAGAACTTTCACCAACGACAAAAAAAGAGGTCATAGAATGAACGAAAGGCAGGCAGGCTAACCAGGACTAACCTGGGTTATTCAGTAGTAGGTTGTGGCCACGAATGAAGATCGCAGGCACAGACATAAGCAAACTAGTGATTATATTGTAGTGTGAAAAGGCAATACGCACACAGAAGCACACACCATAAGCGCTTGTGTAGTGTGGTTCAGTGTGGTGTGTGATTCTGTGTTTCCGTTCTCTTTTCGCGCGACATTATGATCTTCAGCATGTGCGAACTAGTCCAAGCACAAGCGTTTCTGAAAGCTAACTAAGCAGCTGCCTCTAAGCAAGACGGACTTAGTGTGATATGCAAGTTACAGATGATTATTGTTGTTGAACAAAGAGACACACGCAGAAAGATCCAGACAGTGAAGTTCACACGAATGAGAAATAGAAAAAAGGATCAGAGCGAAACAAGGATGGAGAATCGAAGTGAGAAAGAGAGTGAGGAAGATTGATAATTGATATGTGGCTTTTAACGTCCATAAATCACCATATGATTGAGAGACGCCGTAGTGGACTCCGGAAATTTTGGCCACCTGGGGTTCTCTAACGTGCACCGAAATCTGAGCACATTAGCCTACAGCATTTTCACCTCCATCGAAAATTCAGCCGCCGCAGCCGGGATTTGATCCCGCGACCTGCTGGTCACCTTAGCCACTAGGCCACCACGACGGGGCTGAATAAGGGAGAGAAATATAAACAAGGAAGCCCGCCCACCTGGATATTCTTCCAGGCTTCGTCCACCTAATGCAAAGCTGCTTCAACTTTTTTTTTTTTGCATAGTGTATGGAACTGAGGTGAAATTTTACGCCTAAAGAGTCGCACGTGGCTTTACAGTAGGCCCGTAGCCAAGAGAGATGCCCTTGCCCCCTCTCCACCTTCCTTTCCGAAATTAGGTTGAAGGGAGGTGTTTTCAATTCAATTCAATTCAATTTTATTTACCAGAAAACAATCGGAAGACACCTCGACAAAAAGCCGTCGCAACAGCTTGACGAAGGCCCAGGGTCCTTTACGAAAGCGAATATCAAAATACTTGCTTTTCAAGGACTTGAGCAAAAGGGCACAGCCGAAAAAAGTTTATGGCTATGGGCCTGTATTGCAGCGATTTCTTTTATTTCATGCAGCGCCTCCTGGCGCAGGGCCCAACATGATCCGACGCCTGAGCAAGACCGACCGGTACGACCTGAGACACGAGTCCCCGACTTCGCATCAGAGGCCCGTGTTTACCCAGCCACACTTTGACAGCGAGTTTGCGGGAATCCCAAAGGATAAGGTAACCCAGCAGAATGCTTTGCTTCACGAATTGGTTCGTTGTCTTAAAACAAGAGCAAAGCGAAAAAAACAAAGGCTAACATCACACTGGTGACGTTAAGCGTGAAGGAACAACAAAGCTGGGAGCAAGTGCGCACCATACAAGTCAAGCGAAGCCTAGATAGAGCCATAGAATTCGAAACAGGGGCAGTTAAGACTGGGAGAGCCAAGTTTTGTCTAGCAAACCAGAGTTGATGCTCTCTATAACTTTCTCTCCTTCTTTCTTTCTTTTCTTCCTTCTTTCCTTCCTTTTTTTCTTTCTTTCTTTCTCTGCTTTCTTTCGTTGCTTTCTTTCTTTCCTTCTTTCTTTCTCTGCTTTATTTCGTTGCTTTCTTTCTTTGCTTCTTTCTTTCCTTCTTTCTTTCTTTGTTTTCTTTCTTTCCTTGCTTTCTTCCTTTCTTTCTTTCCTTCTTTCTTTGCTTTCTTTCTCTCTTTCTTTCCTTCTTTCTTTCTTTACTTCTTTCTTTCTTTTTTCCCAGAGCTGCCTTTCCCGCGATATGGCCACAATCACTCGCATATCAAGTTTCACAAATAGGTTTTCAAATGGACCTTCGCATTGATCATTGTGGGAACCCCCAAGAGATCATTGTGGGAACCCCACTAACCCCCAAGAAGAACGTGCATGAGAGTCGCAACGTTCTGGTAGTTAACTACGAGCAGAAACCTTGAGGCTTACAAAGACGGTTCAGCTCAAATAGAGGACAACGCAGCGAGTGATGGAATGTAAAAGGAAAATGATAGGTGTAACTTTAAAAGACAAGAAGAGAGCAGATTGGGTCAGGGAACAAACTGGGGTATGGATATCATAGTTGAAATCAAGAAGCAAAAATGGACATAGGCTGGGAACGTAGCAAGAAGGCAAGATAACCGCTGGTCATTAAGGGTAACTAACTGGATTCCCAGAGAAGGCATGCGAGTAAGGGGGAGACAGAAGGTTAGGTGGGCAGATGAGATTAAGAAGTTTGCGGCTATAAATTGGCAGCTGCAAGCACAGGACCGGGTTAACTGGCGGAACATGGGAGAGGCCTTTGTGCTGCAGTGGACGTAATCAGGCTGATGATGATGAAACAGTCAAGCTAATACTGTGATCTAGACATTAATTAAGGAGCGACCCACATGACTACATGATTTTGGCCGACTTTCTTTGTGCAAGCTTCATGCATCCTGATTTGGAAGTAGCTATGTTTTTGTCGTGAACGCAGCGGTGTGCTGTGGACACTGGCCGAAACGATACCACGTCATCTTACAAAGGGAAACCGGTTCACTGCTTCGATGAGGTGACACTGTTACCTGGAATCGCAGGACGCATGTACAGTACTTGAAGATAGAAACAGAAAAAAAAAGCACGCCTAAATAAGGCACGTCGTTCTAGCGTCTAGAGTGGGCCGTATCAGCTTGATTTTGACTCAGACGCTCACATGAGAGCGTTTAGCAACAAGATTTGCCGAGGCCTAACGTGGTTATCACGTGCGAGGGCTTGTAGTCGTTCTTATGCAAAAAGAAAACAAAAAAGAGAAAAAAAGGATGTCTCGTTTCATTCTGTCAGCACTCTGTGAAGGGGAGAAGGAAAGTTAGGTGGGCTGGTGTGATTAAGAAGTTCGCAGGTATAACGTGGCAACAGAAAGCACATGACAGGGTCGATTCGTGGATCATGGAAGGGGCCTGTGCCTTGCAGGGGGCGTATAGTCAGGCTGCTGCTTCAGATGATAATGATTATGCATTACTTGAAAGTGAGAATATACACTATAAAGAAAGAACGGTGCAGACAGATCAAATTTTCAATCAAAGATAAACTCAGAAGATAAAACATGACAGGTTACTATTCGAGGACCACCTATGAGAAATGTGAACGATCATGTTGTATAAAGTAACGGCTCCAGGAGAGACCGCGGTATTTTACAATTTAGCCGGCCAAACAGTGGGTCTGCAGATGCAAAACAGGGCAGAAAACCATTGTGTTGAATATTTATTGCATAACGAGAGCGCTTTGCAGGAGTTAAGCATCAAATGTACCTGACAAGCTCGAAAACCTCCTACCGAATGTGAAAAGTTGATATCTTCTGTGCGTAGTGCGGGAATCAATATGTTTCGCATGCATTGGTGGATGTTTAATCTTTTAATGGTCTGCAAGAATTCGATGCTTCATTAGGCAAGTCGAAGTCAAAGTGTACTCAGAAATGTGTGACAAAATACGTTGCATGAATACATGGCATACTTGATAGTACATATGACGCCTGTCCATATTTTACGGCTCAAACTTTCCAGGGACTTTTACAAAAGCGGAGCAATTAAATGAAAGCTTAAAAAATAAAAATACGTGCTTGTTTTTCTTGACAGGTACCAATATCCGACCGCATCGTCAGCTCACTGCGGAAACGATGGCACGTGAAGCACATCCCAAAGAAGTTGCTTGGCCTCTTTCCTATCATCAGCTGGGTTCGTGCATATAACTTCAAGCAATGGATCATCTCGGACATCATAGCAGGAATATCAGTTGCTATATTTCACGTTCCCCAGAGTAAGTGTCCGTCATTGAACTCCTGCAGAATCGGAAACACAATGACATGAGCTTGGCAATGGTGTGATATTTTATACATGGATGGATATGAAATTTTGGGGTTGTCTCCTGACGCAGCGGGAATATTCAACATTCTTTATTGAACTGATAACAAAGATTGACTATTTATTGGCATGGGCTACGCCTTCTCGCTTAGCAGAAAACTTTGTAGTGAAAAATAATAGGGCACAAAATGGTATACAACCACACTTAGTAAGTGCTAAAGCAGTAGAACCCAACACCACATTGAAGTGCATATAGGTAAAATACGTAAGTAGCGTGGGTCTCGGGGCTCATATATTTTGGCCTATATTTGTCGACGTGCTGCATCAGAGAAAACGTTGAAGAATGTACTTCAAAACTGTCACTATAGACCTTATAAATTAACATTTGCAGCGTAAAATAACATAATTTACAACAAACAAGGACGTCAGTGTCTGTAGTTTGGAGTTCAAATCGAGCCCACTTAGCCACATAGTATCGTATTGTAAACATACACCATAACCTAATTGTTTTTGTACTTTCTAATTTGTTTTATACAGGTATGCAAAGAAGTACACACAATCTGAATGTAGCTGGCCATGGCAGTGCCAGTGCGATAAAAACAGCTACTTGACGTACCATTTGATGGCTATAGCCTTGTATTCTTAAACTCATTTGTGACAGTGATCGACAGTACTAAGCATTGTACGTCACAGAACTGACATTAATGATTTATTTTGTGCTTGTAAAGGTTTCGGTTACTCCCTCCTCGCCAGTGTACCTGCGGTCAACGCCCTCTACACTGCCATGTTTCCCATGCTGATGTACACAATCTTCGGAACTTCCAGGCATCTCTCGATTGGTAATTATGAAACTCGAATCGTTTTATAGAGTAATCAAGAGATCTTTGGTTACATGGTGCAAAAAGCGATACATAAATTATATATTCATTATAATCATTATATATTCATTATATATTAATTATAATTTTATATTCATAAGATTGGGAAAAATCTGAATCATTAAAAAGAATAGGTGACAGTTTTCTCTTTGAAACGCACGTAGGGGAAGAGAGAAGTTCGCGATCTAAAATTGAAAACAGGGAGTAAGTACATGGCTCCAGCCGACACCCCGTTTAACAATTTATTATCCCGCTTATAGCATACAGCCCCAGAAAGTGCATGCGGAGCCGCATTCTCTTGTGTCTTTGCGCAGTGTATGGATCTGTAAGTTTCATATATGGCTCGAGGAAGTTGGGTGAATTTGCGCACGTTCATCATTGATTTTATGGCTCCGACAAAATACAATCATCCAATCTAATCAGAGGTCACGAATTGTCATTTATAAATGCTGTGTTACAACTGTTTTGCTGTGCAGAGGTTGAGTTCTATATTACCTCGGCTACTTCAAATCGTTAATTTCTGCAGCAAAGAAGAAAGAGTAACGAAGGCTTACCAAAATGAACAATCGCCAAAACGAAAATAGGAAAAAAGCATAATAGCGATCTGAAACAACTTGAATTAACATGGCTATATACTGTTTGTCTGCTGCATTTCACACTGCAATAAAACATGCGCTCGTGCACTTTTCCGTTTATACTCACAGTATATGTACACTGTCATCTTTAATGAAAGGGAACACGCGAGCGCGTTGCCTGCGCTCTGCGGCGGCTGCCTACAGCACCATCAACCGACAAGCGAAGAAAGCGCGTTCTCTTTCGGCACCATCTATAGCCAAGTGAGATGACGAGTCATGGCCGGTAGACAAGCGCTGCTAGAATACGTTCCTTCAGTGCTCGTGTGCGATATCGGCTGATTACTGCAGCTTGTGCCGTGGTCGCGCAGAACGTTTGATATGTTGGTGGTGGACAATGCACTACAGGCGTGAGCACAGAGGGAGTGCAATCTAGCAGCGCTTGCCTACCAGCCATGACACGTTATTTTGTTTTCCGGCAACATACGACACTCAAAGCGAGCGTGTTTTATTTTGCTGTCGGTTGATGGTGCTGTAGGCAGCCGTGGCCGAGCCCAGGCCATGCGTTCGCGAGTTCCCTGTCATGATGGACGACAGTGTACTAACACGCCATTCTATATAACACACCTAAATGTATATCACAAATAACTCTTATTAGTGGCACGTTCTCTTGAGTCCTCTCAGGTGATTATTCTTCTCACTTTGACATCGATTATGAATCGCTTTCCTAGCACTTCCGCCACATGCCGGTATTCCGCAACACTCCGTTGCGATATGATGAGTCACTCACTTTGAAGTCCGCCTTGTTTTGCGGGAATCTGTTTACATTAAGGAACTCGTGTTAAATTGACTCGGGCTGCTTTTAACAGATATTCGATAATATAACCTGTGTTAGAATAAGCGTAGACTCAATTTGGATACACTGATAAAATAAAAGCACTGCTTATTAGACATAGCCGAATAAAAAGCAGGAAGCTTCAGTCGTATATGCTGCTTTGATCATATTCCCAAATTTTCGGGAAATCAGAGCTGTGTGTTGGGCTAGCTGGTGCAGCATATGTAATTGTTTAACGGCGCATAGAACGAAGATAACCTGGACGTCTCTTCTTTGTTTCGTGTACATTCCTTGCGCTGTGAAAATTATTAGAAAATGAGCCGTGAATGTTATTTGCATGTCACGTATCCGCCTTCAGGTGCGCATGTAATTAGGTTTGGTTACTCAAGAGCATTCTCGGATCTTTTTTGATCGAGGTAACGCAATATACATGAGAGTATGTACGCATGTGGTAATTAAGATCATATGTGAGATTACCAAAAAGCATCAATGCATGAAGTACTGAGAAGTTGAGGCAACAGAATCTTACAGGCGAAGCTATGCAAAACACAGTCTATCGCAGAACATAAGAGGACATCCCCAGAGGAGAATTGCATGAGCATCATTTTAATTATGGATCACATTGGATAAACATTTAGTTAAAGGTCATGAGACAAAGTGCTGTTTTGTCACAGTGAAAAGGACATTGAGCTCTCCTAAATCAATCGTAGCTTTTAAAAGCTTGTTTTACCTGTGGTCGCTTATCATACTGCCTTTTTTTATGCTCTGCTACAGGCGCTTTCGCTGTAGTCTGCATGATGACAGGAGCCGTCGTGGAGCAGTACAAGGAAGAGTTCGGTGCAGCTGAGGTTGCTTCAACGCTGATGTTTTTCGTTGGATTGTATCAGGTGAGTGAGCATTGGGAGGCCATTACAGAAAGATTTCTTTTTCAAGCGTTGCCTTTGCACTGCATTATAAAATAAAAACAATACAGTAAGAAACGTTGTAGTAAAACCAGTGCATTATAAACATGGACGAGCGAGAACGCATAGAAATAGGGCCTACTGCAAAATGTTTTCGTTTATTGTCAGAAAATGCACGCGTATACATCTGAATTGGATGCGCATATGAGGAGGGTTATTACGAAATTAGCAAAATCAATGCAGGGTCGTTATTACAGTGTATTTTGTCAGCTCTATAGTGTGTTCGATAAGTCAACCCATGAAATTCCCAAGCATTTGTATGATGCACTGTCTGCTGGTTTAAAAATATGAGCTCAGGCGAACAGAACTCAAAGCACTGCCTACATGAGCACTTCAGATAGTTCAGCCAGCAAGTTAGTTTTTTTGTTAATAATGAGATCATTGAAGCGCTTTATCGCTTTCTATTGCAATAACGTACTTTCGGATATATGGTAGGAGCGCGAATCGGCCTTTTTCATTTTCCTTGGCAAGAATTGTATCTGTACATGACAGGGTGACATCGTGGGAATCTAACCACTGTGACGCGGCGGGCTTTCATCCCAACGCAGCTTGCCCTCGCTTTCTTGAATCTCGGAGGCCTCAGCGTGTTCCTATCCGAGCAGTTCGTCAGTGGCTTCACTGCTGGCGTGTCTGTCCACATAGGCTCGAGCCAACTGGGCAGCCTGTTCGGCATTCCCGTCGGCCACTTCTCTGGACCGTTTCTGCTTATTAGGGTAAGAATCTGCAATATTTGTCGAAGTCGGAGTTACCTTGCCGAGACAGTCTTTTTCTGTGACTAGGTCTACTTAAGAGATAATTGCACGCAACATTGTAAACCCACTAAAAAAGTGAGGCAGCATTGGGAACGAAGAAATATGAACTTTTGGCTGGACTTTAAATCGCCCGCAAGATGTTCATGAGTTCGCAGCAGCCCTGCGCGTGAAATCGAAGAAAGCCACTAAAACGTCGAAAAATAAAAGCTAGCTGAGAGGCAGAAGCAGAGATAGTGAACACAGAGCCATCTCTGGGTTCACTGTTTGCAGTTCTGCGCCTTAGTTGCCCAACAAGCAACACTTCTGGCTGCATGTGAATTGGACTTCAAAGTTTTAAGGCTTTTATCAAGCTCCAAAACTCACGTTTGGTGTCGACAATTGCTTGAATAAATCGTCAGGCGAAAGTAGTCTCTGTCACTGAATATAAAAATATATATGCAGTGCCAATAAACTTTCATCGTTATTGCTCATGATGTTGCGTTTGGCTGCGAGTGATGTCACAGTACCCAATGAAAACAACACAGTTGTAGGTCGGTATATCATCGCTAGGCATCGACAAAGGGCCTAGGTTGAATTTTTCGTTGCCGCACTTGTTTATTTCGGTATTCATTCTAAACATCTTTTGACCTCGAGACCACTTTCTCTTGTCCTATAGTAGAGTACCTGGTACTCTGAATCGTCACACTTTTAACACATGCGCTGCTGCATTCATCGTAGCGCACATTGCCCTTCTACCTTGACGTGTAACAGGACACCTTGCCTCAATTTTGGGAACCTTCCTCTGGGGAAGAAAAGTAGAAAAAATTTAAAAGAAACTTTTACAGCTTCCCACAAGTCGTGGAGACCTGGGTCTCCCAGACATACCAATGTTCACGAGTGCACTGGCTGCAAGAATGACACAGAAGCTCTTGACGACGGAAGTTACCCCGGTAACAGTTCCCTAATGAACTGAAGCAGTACACTAAAAGGAACTTTCGTGACAACTCGGTACAACAGACCAGAAGCCGAAATTCCGCTCGAGTTTCACAGAGCTGCTGGTGGCTTGAAAATGAAGAGTTGAATGAATAGGTTCGTGCAGCCTGGACGACCTTTAATCAAAATAATAAAGTGAAATGTTGACAAATAGCACATTGAGCAATGAGGAAGAAAAATTACCCTGCGCGAAAAATATAGAAAACGATGACGTTGCGATCGCGTACTTAACGAGGTGTGCGAGTTTCGCTGGTTGAGAAGTTGGAGGGCATTGCCTACCCGTTACGGGTTAGCACATTTCAGAGTCGTTCCAAATGATCCTTGTCAAAAAAGCGGCAAAAGAGGGGCGTTTCGATACTCGGTGGCGAAAGGCGTCTGGCACGTGGTACAACGCCTCTTTGGCTCTGCCACAACCCGCATAGAAACAAAACATGGGCTGTTCGCAAGACTGGTTTTTACAATCACCTAGAACGTACTGTGGCGGCGACACTGTTCAGCTAAAGTACGGCTCAAGCCTCAGAGGGGCCTATCTCGCACTCCAGAAAATACGGCTTGTGGTGTCGAATTACTTCGATGAGCAGCTGGAAACACGTGGTAAAGAGGCTTTCCTTCGACGATGGCACAAACCTTTCTTCATATTAAGGGGCCGTTGGAGTTTCCAGTTGTTCCGTAGTCGCCATGCTCCCACTTCGGTACGCATGCATTCTTCGCATTCTCTGAAATGTGAATAGAACCATCCATTTAGGGGGTGAAGCTCCTAGGGGGGCGGGAGGGGGGCTGGTACCTTCGGTTGTAGTAGTATAAGTAGTTGTAGCAGTATCTGGCCACGTCTACTTTATGAATTGTTCAATAGATGGCGTTGTGTGTATATGTCCTTGGACACAATGGTACTAAATGGCGTTACTGATTTTTATATAGTCGATTATTTCATACAGTTAGACGGATACACATATAACACAGAAAGACGGACACAGAAAGACGGATGGATGGATAGAGAGACGCTTCGCCCCCCCCCCCCCCTCATCATTGTTCACTCCGTGGATATGCGGCGATTCCGTGGATATGCGGGATATGCTTCAATTTGCAGCGTTCCGATACACCGAGCTGAATTCGATTTCAGTGCTCATTTGTAAAATTTATACTGTGTTTAATTGTTTTGATGTTTCGTTTGCGTGTGCAAGAGTTGCGTGTATAATACAAATGATCTTTTTGAACTGTTTTTTACAACCCTTGTTGCCTTTCAAACGTAGTGTTGCTGATGTCTACAAAGGCGCTGACAGACTCGCTTTCATAACCACGAAAAATTGAAGTTTCTGGTACCGCAATACTGAGTTAAAAAATTGCCAGATATCTACGGGGGAATAATGATGAGTGGGGCGAAGCTTCATGGGCTCTCAGCTTAGCTGTCTGTATGCGTGTTTGTCTATTCTTCTGCCATTCTGTCAAACTCCTATGAAACTAAACCACACGGAACGCGTGCCTCCGCAGCAACTAATGATCCCTTCACCTGGATGGATGGATGGATGGATGGATGTGGCTGTACCCTTTAGATCGGGCGGCGGCTAACGCCACCTAGCCGTAATACTTAGTGAACTAACCATTACATTTATCTTTTTTTCCTTTAAATAATGAAGTTGAGTATTCGTACTTCGCAGTGAAGGGTTTAATTTTCACTCGTGCCTTGACTTTAGCCACCAATCAGATAACCTCCTTCTAGTTAAGTTTACCCGCTTAAAGTCTATTTTGCCCTCGCTGTCCCTAAATCCCAGTGCTTTGAAAAACTCTGCGCCATCATCCTGAACTATAGGGTGAAGCCCTTTACAGAACATTATCAAGTGTTCGGCAGTTTCTTCTTCCTCTCCACACGCACTGCATATTGTGTCGACCCCTTCGTATTTGGCCCGATATGTCTTGGTTCGCAGTACTCCCGTCCTGGCCTCAAACAGTAGAGAACTACCCCGAGTATTATCATGAATCCTTTCCTTGGCAATTTCCTGCTTAAAAGTTCGATAGATCTCTAGTGCGGACTTCTTAATCATGCCCAATCTCTACATGTCAGTCTCCGTTTCCTTCACTTTTTTCTTAACCGATAGTTCTTTTTGGTTTGGCCACCTGCTGTTTTCTAAGTATTTACCAGTCAACTTCCTGGTTCGCTTCCTCCATTTTGTATCGACATTCTTCATGTACAAGTAGCTGAAAACCTTCCTAGCCCAACGCTCTTCCCCCATTTCTCTCAATCGCTTCTCAAATTTTATCTTGCTGCTAGCCTCCCTGCCCTCAAATGATGTCCATCCCATATCACCTTGTACTCCCTGATTTGGTGTATTCCCGTGAGCTCCTAAAGCAAGCCTACCTATTCCACGTTGCTTAATTTCTAATCTTGCTTGAACTTCTGATCTCATGCACAAGACCGCATTGCTGAACGTCAGCCCAGGAACCATGACCCCTTTCCATATTCCTCTCACAACATCATACCTATTGTAATTCCACAGTGCCCTATTTTTCATGACTGCTGCATTCCTGTTACCTTTAGTCGTCACGTATATTTCGTGTTCCCTCAGATACTCGGTCCCATTGCTTATCTATACGCCCAGATATTTGTATTTATCTGTCATCTCTAGCGTGACCTCCTGTATTCTAAGCTCACTACCTTCGTTGTCATTGAAAATCATGACTGCTGATTTTTCCCTACTGAATCTAAAATCTAACCTATCTCCCTCATTACCGCAGATGTCCATCAATCTCTGCAAATCTTCCTTGTTGTTGGCCATTAGCACTATATCATCTGCGTACATTAATGCCGGTAGTGCCTGATCAATAAGTTTTCCTTGTTTGACTAAAGAGAGGTTGAAGCCAAGTCCACTTCCCTCTAATTTTGCCTCTAATCCTTGTAGGTACATCATGAATAATAAGGGTGACAGGGGGCACCCCTGCCTAAGCCCCCGTTTTACCTCTGCAGGCTTGGATACTTGTTTTTCCCACTTTATAACTACCTTGTTACCTTTATAGACGCCCTTTAAAAGATTAGTGACTACATGTTCCACGCCTAGTGTGTCCAGTATTCCCCACAATTCCTCTTGAACCACGCTATCGTACGCTCCCTTGATATCCAAAAATGCTAGCCACAGAGGCCTGTGTTCTTTTTCTGCTATTTCGATGCACTGCGTCAGTGAGAACAGATTGTCTTCCAACCTCCTGTGTTTCCGAAACCCATTCTGCAGTTCCCCCAGCACCCCCTCATCCTATATCCATGCCTGCAGTCTTTCCTTCATAATCTGCATCGCCAGCCTGTAGACCACTGATGTCACTGTTATAGGACGGTAGTTGTTACAAAAGTGCCTACAAAAGTGTTACAAACCTGCTACAAAAGCGCAGCGCCATCTAGTGAACATTGTGAGAAATAAGGGGTGGCTACTACAACGGAGCACGGAGGATGGAACGACCCACAGCGTAAGGAGCTACGCATCTAAAAGTTACACCATGTCCCAATAAAAGCAGCTATGTGTGCACGCGAAGCAGCGGGGAGATGGTGAACGAAACCAGCAGATAAGTCAAGTAGGTGCACAAACTTAGAGAACCTCTACGTGACTAACGCTGCCGGTGACCAACGCTTGATGCCACTGACCGCTACCATGAACGCTGCCGGCAATCATGCTAAACAGCCGGTTACTCAACCCACAAGCCAGAGACATCGAACGCGATCCCGTGCTAAGCAAAGCAGACGCGCTTTGTCACACGGAAACATGGAACGCCGAAAGACTGACAATCAACGGGTAGGAACAAAGGAGACGCACTCTGTTTTACGGATACGTTGCCTGGCCACCCACTCGGGAATAGAGGGGGAGCGTATGAGAGGAGAGAAATGCAGAGCGCGCGCATGTGTGGAGAGAAGGAATGTATGCCACTGGAGGGAGGGATGGACCCAGTTCTCGCCATCAACTGCATCACGTTTCAAAAGTCATCGGACTCAATATGCTGCTCGACTCTCCCCCCTTCCGTTTTTTTTCTTTCTCGGTTAATTGAAAGATATTACGTATACTGTTTCATTGTTTCGCAGTAGAGCACAGTATATAACTGGAGCCTGTGTAAAATTGAGTCTAGCGTTTTTATAGGGTAAGCACGCGGTTTTGAAGTCTTTGGTATATAAGTGTGTCTAGTGTTCACGTAAAGTGGTTGAATAAAGGTCCTTTTACACAACGAGCTGCATACCCAGGGGTAGAGAATACTATAATGATCCTGGCTTGGTACATCACCGAAAGCACAGAAACGCAAGGTGAAGAAGCCTTCATCACAATGTGGCATGCACAATTCTGGGGGTGTGAGGAATGGGCATGTCAAGTTTCCTCTACTGCCGTTACAAGGAACTGGCAGGTTAGGAAAAGTAACTTTCTGTTCACAAATGCCTGATGATTTTTTGTGTTGCCTTTTCGTGTTCTTTTTCACTAATCGGTTACCTGTCACAGTATCGCAGTGCTGTAAGTTACATCGTGCCTATGATCTCTTGTTTGTAAGTGCCACTGAAGCCATTTTGTTTCCCGTTGCAGTTATACTCCCCTGATCTGCAGTTACTAGTACGCAAATAAATTTCCCTCCTTCAATCGACTTCCAGCTCTACGATGCCTTCATCAGGCTCCTCCCGGACACGCATTTGCCCACACTGGGAATGTCGGCGTGCTGCATTTTCCTCTTGCTCTTCGTTAAGCTGGCCATTGACCCCTTCGTGGAGCGAATGATAAAGATACCCGTGCCCATCGAGATGATACTGGTGAGATGGCAGTGATTCTGTGATTACTCCACGTCTTTAGACATATATATTATCTAGGAATCTCCCGGTCGAAGTTAATTACTTGTAACCCAGAGCCACTACATATATCTTACCATGGAGTGCATATGATTACCTGAATTCCCTCTGAGTACAAGTGTTTGAATCGTTCTTTTATTACTCCTGCCTCAGCGTTTAGGAAGAGTTCTGCCGCAAACAAGTTTTGGATTGCCTTACTTAATACTTATCACTACTTGCGCAAATATCAGCCCTTAGTGACAATAGAGAGCATTTTACTATAAATTTTTTAGACCTGCATTCTATTGCGAAAGCAATTATATATATATACCAAAAACAGTGATGCCGGGTCCGGGTAAAATTATCCGTATGAAAGAAGACGCACGTACGAAGTGATTTTATTGACGTTTCGGCCACGAGTCTGGCCTTCATCAGAATACAGTTTATGACACGAGTGCTGTTTATATACATGTTCATATCAAAAAGACACAAATATGAAAACCGGCATGAAAGGTGATATATGGGCATATATATATGCAAGTCACACAATCTGAAGGGCACCTGATACACGAGTAAAAAGATAGTTTCCATGCGTGAGCACGTGGCAAGCATGTTGTTTGCAAATAAAAGATAAAACGCATAAAAGATAAAGCACATAACATGAAGAGTAGTCCGACCGGTAAAAGCAAGGGAAAAAAACAAAAAAACTATAAAATAACAATAAAAATAACAGACGTTACAAAGCTGCTACGTAATCAACCGATACAATGTAGTGCGACTTGCTGAGCAAGGTTGAAAAAGGATGGACAGGGTGATACAGGTTACGCAGATAGGCAACTAAGTTTTCCTACGTTTTCATTTAGCTAGACCAGATGCGACGGCGTCGAAATTATAGATGAGGAATGATTCACGGGCTTCGCTATAATAATTTGCGCAGAAACCAGATTCTAGTAATGTGACCTGTAGATTTTCAAAAGAGTGATCAGGGAGGTGCACCTGTCTTGAAATGGGCAAGTGGGGCAAGGTGTTAGCATGAGATTTATGATTGTTAAAACGAAGTCTAAAAGGCCCTTCTGTTTGACCAATGTACTGCATTTCACATAGTGCAAATTCTGTCATGTATATCACGTTCTTAAAATCACAGTCAAGAATGTCTTTAATTTTTAAGGAAAACTTGGAACCAGTACTGGTGACCTGTTGGCATGTGCGCATGTACGGGCATACTTGGCATCACGGTATTTGGCAAGAATGGCACCCGATCGTGTCAGGACTGTAAGCTTTCGACGATAATGACGATGAGAGTATGTCTCGAATAGTTTTAGCATTGCGATACACTGCTTTAGGTGGTTTGGTAAAATTGGTTCTTAAGCGTTCACTTTGCATTAGAGTATTGTGGTGCTTTCTCAGCACATTAGAAACACGCGGAACTGACGCAGAATGGGTAAGGACTAAGTTTGTCTGCGCTGAGGGAGTTGAGTTTTTAGCAGCGCACAACAGCGTTCTACGATCATGCATCTCGGCATGTTTTACTGCATCATCAATTAATTGCGGCGAATATTTTTGTTTGACTAGAGCATCCTTTAGTGTTCTGCAATTTTTTTGAAACTCTGATTGCTCTGAGCAGATTCTTTTAAAGCGTAAAGCCTGACTGTAAGGGATGCTAGTTTTGCAATGTTTCACGTGGCTACTGTCAAAGTGCAAATACTGTTGCCGGTGTGTAGGCTACCTGTATAGAGCAGTGGATAGCTTATCATTTACAATCGAAATGGTCACATAGAGAAAACTAAGCGTTGATGTGGAATAGGCGTGAGAAAATTATATTTATGGATGGGCATTATTAAAGTCAGATGTGAAGGAAAGCAACTCCTGTTCTCCATGCGGCCAAATAAGGAAAATGTCGTCAAGGTAATGTTTATAATAAAAACGTTTCAGCACGCGGGTTTGCAAAAATTTACTTTCATGCTGGCCCATGAATATATTGGCGTAGTTGGGTCAAATACGCGTACCCATTGACGTGCCGCTAACTTGGACGTAGTGTTGCCCTTTAAATTGAAAGTTATTTAGCTCTAAAATGAGCCTGAGCAATACTGCTAATGTGTTACTGTCGATAAATTTAGCCGGTGATGCTGCTTCATAGGACCTGGCGACTGCCGCTATTCCGTCTAAATGCGGAATGTTGTTGTATAAAGACGCTACGTCTAGCGTGACCAAAAAGGAACCTTGAGGAATATTCAGATCAATTATACCAGAAACAAAGTCGGTAGTGTCCCTTACGTAAGACGGAAGTGATGCTGAGATACTACTGATCAGAGAATCGACATAACTGAACAATTTTTCTGTGACACTACCTATACCTGAAATAATGGGACGGGCGGGGTTGTTTATCTTGTGTATTTTAGGAAAAAGGTAAAAACGACCGGGAACAGGACTTAGGAGAATAAAAGAATGAGTTGCATTGTCGGGCACCTTTTTGTTTTCCAGAAGTTCTAGCAAAGTGCTATGGACAAGAGATTTAAATTGTTCAGTGGGGTCGTGATCCAGACGCTTGTAAAAACTCATGTCTGCGAGCTGTCTTTGGGCCTCTGCTTCATAATCAGACTTGTTCATTACGACAACAGCCCCACCTTTGTCCGCAGGCTTGATGACGATGTCGTTGCGGCAAGACAAGGCATTCAGTGCTTTCATTTCACTGGTGGATAGGTCACGGCGAAACGCCATTTGCTTTCGATATGACTGTAGTACGTCTCGTTGTACAGCTTTGATATACATATCTAAGCATGTTTCGTTGTGAGGGAGGTACCCAACGTTTTCCAGAAGGTAATGCACTTGTGGAACCATTTGTATTTTGCCGGTCATAAAAAAACTCGCGCAAGCGTAAGTTGCTGGCAAAATGATCCAATTCTTTCAGTAATTGAAATTCACTGTGTCCGCCTGCGGCAGGACAGAAATTGAGACCGCGGCACAGAACACTGCGCTCCTCAGCAGTTAGTGCAATGTACGAAATATTTACTATATTGTTCTGCTCCTTGACGATATGTTTGTCAATAAAAGGTGACAGTCCTGACAGTTCTGAAATGATCGGGTCCGTAGTATCGGGTACCTGTATACGATGAAAATATCTTGAAAAGATGCGAGACTACGGTACTTGGAGTGTTCACTAAATTAACGGACGGATGAATGGACGAACGCTTCACCCCTTTCATCATTCGCTCCGTGGATATACTGCGATTTTTTTCTTGAGCAGCGCACTGCGCGTTTGATGTGGTTGGTGCTCTTCGCGTGGCACTCCAATTTTTCGCCAATGCATTTTTTTGCTTTTGAGGTGATACGGTAGCCTTAACTTTATCTGTTTACATTCAAAAGCGAAGTGGACCAACATCGGAATCGTTACCTTAGTCAGGCACAACCGAATGAAAGCATGGAATGCCGGGGCGACACTATTTGTAGTGATTTAACTACTGTGTAGGAACTGTAGTAATCGTCATAACAAAATAAAGGTATTCGAGGGGCCCATATGTATAAGAAAAATACCTTTGGACCCTATGGATGGTTCACACCCCACAATTAGCAAAGGTGTATCCTAGTGCCCTATATATTTACATTGCCTTTGTCGCAAGTACTATATATATAATGGTCAAAGTCTGCAAAGAATATCCGTTGTGCTTTTCACGGCTTCAGTGCCCGTTAAAGTAAATTATAATAAATTTAGTTTATTATAATTTAGTTTATAATTTATTAAAAAGCCCCGCCGTTGTGGTCTAGTGGCTAAGGTACTCGGCTGCTGACCCGCAGGGCGCGGGTTCAAACCCCGACTGCGGCGGCTGCATTTCCGATGGAGGCGGAAATGTTGTAGGCCCGTGTGCTCAGATTTGGGTGCTCGTTCAAGAACCCCAGGTGGTCGAAGTTTCCGGAGCCCTCTACTACAGCGTCTCTCATAATAATATAGTGGTTTTGGGACGTTAAACCCCACATATCAATCAGTCAATGTGTGCAGTTGTTTTTTTTTTCATTCTTTCGAACGCAGCCGAATATGAGAAAACATGGGTTGACAAAGATTACGGTCCAGAGAAGTGCCTTACCATGGCCGCTAAAAGCTGGTTTCTGAGTGTTGCATTTGAAACGGCTCAGTTGCTCCTTACAAAAGATTAACATAAAACAAGTTCATCTCTAGTGGCTTCACTACTTGTCGATGTGTTCTTTCTGCTAACTCTTAATTCAAATTCATATGCTTCAACACTGCCATAGGGCTCCGGTATATCTAAAGCTGCAGAATAAAAGCAGATAACTGTGAAAATTAGCAGTGTGCTGCGCTTGCAGTATGTACTTATCATAGTTCGCAAGTCTGAGCGCGCTCAAAACGGTAGCAGAAGTGTGGATTGTTGCATAATCCTTACCGTGAAGCTGTTTCAGTAGCCTAATGGTGCTTACGTAAAATTGAATTCTGTCTCTCCAGGTCATAGTAGCCACTGTGGTCTCCAGTTATTTCGACCTGGAGAACAAAGGTTTTTGAAATCATCGGTCCCATCCCCAACACGTAAGTTTTGAATCATTGTGTGCAATACAGGCAGCATTGACCTTCATGGTGAATCGATGATGCTAATACCTAGGTGCACTTCAGATTGTAATGTTGAGTTTAAAGCGGCTGGTGATAGTTTTCATGTGTGCGCATGCATTCAGTTGTGTCGAAAGAAACAAAGAAGGATTGGTATGCCTTTTTTAGGTGTACCTTGTTTTAATTGCCATTATCGCAGTAACTATCAATGTTGCCAAAAACGTGCCCTCAAGGGCCCCGTATGGTTTATTAAGTAAAAAGAGGTTGAGTAATTGGTAATCCGCAGTGATTGTTCACACAAATGTATACCCTCAAAACAAAACAAAATCATGTGCAAACTTATCTATTTGAAGCAATGTGACTAGGATAATTGTCCTACAAATCTGCGTAAGAAAAATATTCAGCGGCTTAACATCGATTATGCGTGTTATGTGCTACACTAATCGGTGCGTATTAGTCTAACAATGGCGCTGTCTAGCCTATGGTTCCCTGTATATCGTATCACGAAAATATCGTCATAAACTTATTTGTACTTCACAATCTGGGTTCTATTACAGTAAAATCTAGGTTCTTTCCGTTGTTGAAGAAAGTTACCCTCACCACTCGGTGCCCGAGACACACCACCAGATATAGCAAAGTGGGAGACGAAACGTGCTGCCGCTATTTCAATAGCGGTGATTAATTTGCTGGTCGCTTGAAGATGAAGCAGAAACGCTGGAGAAGTTCTATAGGCTGAGAAAAACTGGTATTTACAGACTGTACAAAAGTTACACAAGTATGGACATCAACGTTACACACAAAAAAAAGAAAAGAAAAACACTTTGCAAATGAGCCGTCTTCTCTAGGGTGACCCTACGGAATTCAGCGGAGCCGATGGTGCCTAACACCTCAAGCCTGGTTCAGAACACTTGGCGGAACCTCGGGGCCTTTTCTTATTTGTTCGGTGCTCCACCCTTACACAACTCTCGGTGAATCGTTGCCTGCTTGTTGACTGATAGGACAGCGCACTTGGTCGATGAAAAACCCGCCACGAGGATGTCGCCTTTGTGCACGTGAAGGACTCATGCTCCTCGCCCCCAATAACATAACCAAAATGTAAGTAAGACAAAACTATAAGAAATCGTAGAAGCATGGGCGAACTCCGCGGCGCACAATTAGACAGTTTATAGTATACCGGGCGTGCCGTGATACCGAAATCGAAGTGCGCATGTGCAGGTACGTACGTTACCCGTACCACTTATCGTGCGCGTGGTACCGCTTACCGTACCGTGGTAGCGTGAGCGTACGTAGTGTACGTAAACACGGCGGCGCTCTCGAATGCTCGTTTCGTAGTGATTTTGGCGTAGTTATTGAAAGATTCACCTTGTTTGCAGCAAACGACGGTTTAAACTGGCTTCGCTTGCCTTCAGTTAGCTTCGATGACCGAGTATTACAGATAATTTAGCGTAATTTTTGAGATAGCTTCCCATTTCGAAAGCGTCTAGGCCTAACTACAATATCGTAAACAAATCGGCAACATAATTTCTTTCGCGTTTGGTGCGTGGTTCATATTTATTTGCTTTCATTATCAGTAAAATAAACTTGTAGCAATGCTTCGCGTGGTGGCATAGGCAATCATTCTCGTTTTCTTTTCCTTTTTACTGCCTAACTTGTTAACAATCTGATAGGTGGCACCACCGTACCAGCTGTAGCACGTAAACCACGTAAACGCTATCCCGCTAAACTATAGGACGCTGTCCACAACGAACGTTTGCTGCACGGTAATGCCATTTTCTTTACCTCAGCTATCACGCTAACCGTGAACTATAACTGTCTATTATCTCGACTTACAGCTACCCGTACTGCGCTGTGGCGGCCGCAGGACGGCTTCCCTGTAACACGTTACCTTCTTGACGACGGGGCAATCATCCGCCTGTCCCCTGTGCGCTGTGAGAGGAACCGCTAGCTGATGGCACGTTGTTCTATTTACGAGCTCATTTGTCCGGATAAAAGCGGCAGCCGTAAAAAACATGCCAATTCAACAATAGGCACCCCAGGCGGTGACCTGTCCTGAGCCTGCCCGCTTCCGAGAGCTACGTCACCAGACCATAACGAAAGGTTCACGGCAATCACTGCAGTTTCGCAATGCGCACCACCGATTTTGCAGGCGCGTAATCAGTACACAGCCGTTCCATAAGCCGAACCGATGTGAGGAGTCCTGAGTTAGCAGGAACTCCAAACGCTCGGCCGTCTCTGGCGCTGCAGAACTATGCGGAGTACGAAGCTGACGCCATACTGTCTGCGTTCACGACAAATCAGGCTGGGCACTCTTCGACCGCATGCAACTAGAGCAATGCTGTCTGCCAATGGCTGACATGTCTGCCGTAGCTTACGGTGCAAAGTAAATGAAAGCAAACTAACTACCGCGCAACCAATTATAACCGCGGTCATACAATTACCATTATATAGCCGTTCCATTACCCAACACTGGCCTACTAAAAATGAAGGAAACATTAAATGCACAAATTTGCAATAAAAATGCATGTCTGCATCATTTATTTCAAACATGCAGAATATTTACCAATCAAAGAAAGAGGCTTCTGGAAGAACCGCTCACATAGATGTATCAAATTTGACCCCATCTGAATGGTTTATTTTGGTGTTACCACGCACATTAGAGAACCCCAGGCGATAGAAATTTCCAAAGCCCTCTACTATGGTGTCTCGCATAGTGATATGGTGGTTTCGGGGTCGTTAAACCTTGCATGTCAATCAATCGATCAATCAATTGATCAATCACTCAATCAATCAATCAATCAATTACTTCTCGAGGCAAAACGAAATTTCTTTATATGTTAACAATAATAGTTTGCTGCTTTTTAATGCCCCCTTAAGCTAGTATGTTTCTTTGAAGAATTATGAATTCCAAAACAAAATAATACGTTTACATACAAATATTCTTAGCGAGCTTATGGCGCCAAAAAAAAAAACGCGAAAGAACGCTTGTCCTTCTTTCGTGTTTTTTTCGCGCCATAAGCTCGTTAAGAAGAAACCAACTCATCCAATAAGCCACTATATAAATATAAACAGGGTAACACATGTTTCTAGTGAATTCCCCGAGGTAGGTTGCACCTGTTTAATAAGACTTGACCAACCATCCTGCCAAATACCCTTGAAGCGTTTGAACAGTCATCAGGGCACCACAATCTTTGTGAAAGACCTAATGAATCAATCCGAAATCTCAGCATTCACTCTAATGCGTCGACCTAATTGTCAACGTGACCGCGAATGCTTGGTGGTTTAAATGAATGATAGTTAGAAGCAAGCATATCAGGGATAGAAGTGTTGTCTGCATGCACGAAGTGAGAAAAATTCTCAGCTGCAGTTCGTTTGGATGAGCTGGAAGCAATATGTACAGTTTTATGCTCAGAAACGTCATCAATGACGTCGCATTCGAATGCACTTTTAACTAAAAGAGAACTGAGAAAACAAGGTCTATGAGGGCGTTTTGGCGAGTTGGAGATTTTACTGTTTGAGTAAGAAGCTGGGTTAGTGAAAAGTATGAGTTCTCGACAAATAGAAATTTCTTGCCTGTGCAACGTTTTGCATGCCAATCCATGCCCTGTGTATTGAAGTCCACCATGAAAATGAATTCTGAGGTACCGAAGTCATTTATCCAAAGAGGAACTTGGCGCTCAGTAGAATGCCCTAACATCTAAATACCATTTATTTAAACAGTTTGCACCAAGCAAGTTCGACGTCATGTGTGTCGGGGAGCACAAAAACTTTGTCAGAGCGAATAAGCAGCGCTGCACCACCACCTTTCATATGTGATCAGTCATTGCGCACTGCTACGTAACCGGGTGGGGTAAATTCACAATCAAACACTCCATTATGTAGCCAGGTCCTCGTTATGGCCACTATATGGGGAGAGTACGACGTAACAATGGCAAGTAAATAAACGAGTTTGTTAACAATACTTACGGCATTTATATAGAAAATACTCAACCTTTCGAAATTCCTGGCAGTGTAAGAGAAGTTGCTTTAGTTCAAGAAAACAATTTTTTAGCGGAACCAGCGAAATCTCGTTTTAAGGAATCAGTACTATTGTCACAGATGTAGCGCACGTCATCAATATAGCCATGATCATAACTCAGCTGTACTCTGGATCTTTTATCTCGATAACTGACAGTTGCGTCCCACGGTTGCTCTAAGGTCCGCACGCTCGGGGACATGTCCTCAGTTACGTACAGACCCGACCCTTTCAGTTTCGAAACATTTTTCATGAGGCGCATTTTTTCCCTTGCAATTAGATTTTCATTATCAGTGCTCGTGTTGTCTCTTCACGTCATCGGCCTATGCAATGATATCGCTCAATATCTGGGTGTACATCCATGGACGTTTTGCTTCCAGGTTTCCGACGATGGGTCTGCCCGACCTGAACCTGTCTCTTGTGACGAAAGTGGTCGTGCCGGCCCTCACCATTGCGATCGTGTCGTTTGCTGTCACGGTGTCCTTGGGTCGCATCTTCGCCAGAAACCACGGATACGAGGTTGTGCCAAACCAGGTGAAACGCCAGAGTTAGACAAAGCAACAGAACTAATTCCCAGCATATCCGCGGAATGAATGATGATGAGTGGATTCTAACCATCCGTCCACCCGTCCGCCTGTCTGTCCGTCAGTTCACTCTTGTCACACTAGAGCACGCATCAGACAGACAGACGGACACTTCGCGCCAGTCATCATCATTCACTCCATGGTTATGCTATGAATTACTTTTAATAAGAGCGCCATCTATCTTCTATATACGGCAACCATATAAAAACCATAAACGCCATAGAGTGATACTATTTCCAAGTACATTTACACACAATGCCATGTAGTGAGCAATTCACAAAATTAACTAAAAGTGGCTACCACAACACACTACGAGGGAGCGGCTCACAGCCTAAGGAGCCTCGCCCCTGAAACTAAAATTAACCATGAAAGTAGCTTTACAGAAAAATTCGCACTGCAATATCCGTACGAAGTCGCAACGCGGTTTCTTCAGAAAACGTGAATTTTCTACACAGCTACATGCGGCAAATAGAATAAAATCCACTTTTTACAAAAGTTGCGCCCTGAACGCTGTGCAGGCCATTGAATGCAATACTTGGCAGAACATTCTTGATGGCCGTAAGTGGAAGGCTGCGATGCGAAAGCACTAGTACTCCTTCGACTAATTTCGGATAGTTTCAAAGCAGTCATATACAGCACGACTCGTTGCACCAGTCTTGGAGAGATATAACCATGTGTATATCTTTATCGCTCGTTGTCTTATTTGCAGCTTTCCGGTTCTTGCAGAAGTCTTTCAAACATGTTTATATGTATATAGGACATGCTGACTGACTCGGTATACCTATGCCATTAGGGCCTGCAATGCTCAAGAAAGCGATCTAGCATTAGTTGCCAACGATGAAAAAAACTTGTAAATGTTCACTTAGCGGAAAGTTTGCGTGGTCAACTGATTGATTGAGTGATTGATTGATATGTGGGGTTTAACGTCTCAAAACCACCATATAAAGCGTGGTCAACTGCGACGAAATAAATTGCAGAAACCTTTTCTGGCTCTGCTTTTTTTATCAGGAACTGCTGGCGCTTGGTATGTCGAACTTTTTCGGAAGTTTCCTCGACTGCGTTCCGAGTGGCGCTTCTGTACCACGAAGTTCCATTCAAGATAACAGTGGCGGAAAGTCGCAGGTAATGTGCACTTTGCTTGTCAATAGATTTTTCTCGCTTTGATTGCCCCCTTTTTTTGGTCTGATGTGTAGGTGTGATCGAACCGATGCAGAGCTTTACGGCTACGGTTCACCTGTTTTACCACAGTTCTTGAAGGGATTAGTCCATTGGATTCGTGTCGTCCTTCCTTCATAAGGAAACTTACACGCTGCCTTGGTGGAGATTTCAAGTGTGTGAGCTAGACAAAATGGAAGTTCACCAAAAAAGAAAATCTAATAATGATTGGCGATTGAACAAGAAATATTTCGATCACTGCCAGTCATAGATACAAGCTATTATGGTCCCAGGTGAAAGCTACTATGGTCCCTGATACAACCTATTGTAGTCTTAGAAAACTACTTCACCTCAAAAATATTTGAGAATGAGACTCCTGTTATCTTAGTCTCAAATAAAAAAAATGTTTTACTCCAGATACAAACTATCATAATGGTGATCCTAGGTAAGTATCAATATGATCACTGATGCACACGAGCGTGATATGTCAAATGTACATTAATGCCATCACATTTATAAAGTACTGCAATCATAAGCGAAAACTAGTTTTAGCCCTGGTGCAACGCAACAGTCACAGGTGCATATGAGTATCTTAGAACAATCGAGCATTGGGCGTGTTGGTATGCCTTTGTGGATGGCATTTTGCGCAAATAAAAAAAAACGGACACGAAAGAAGAGAGCACACACAGGTGCAGACTAACACGAAACATATTTGAAAAGCCTAGCTTTAGGACCTAAGTTTTGCTTCGAGCCAATTCTCCATTCCTCAAATATCTTGGCCTTGGCGTGCTCTGTGTTAGACAGGGTTCCTAAATGTGAAATGTCAAGATGTGTTGCCAAGGTATAAGAGGTCACCACCACGTTCTAGAGGAACCCTGACATGAAATGTAAACTGAAGCGTTTGCTTGATTTAGTGGCCACTAATCGAATCAGGCCTTCGATCTCGAATAAGGAAGGGTCTTTCGTCCTGATGAAAGACGGCCCCTGTTCGGAAAAGGGGATGCGAGCGATTAACATGAGCCTAAATCAAGTCATAGACAAGCCTAGACAAGATTTAAAATCAAGTCATAGACTTGAAGAAAAGGGCTGTTAATTCGTTGCTTGAGTAGAAGCTTGCCGGGTTATTCGCTGATGACAAGAGTGAGAAATGGGATGCTTTAAAACTGGTATTCAGTTAAAGCACACAAAGAAAATGACCCCTGTCGGGGGATTGTTTCGAACCGCAGCACTTGGCAGTATTTAGTGTCCAGTTACTTGCAGATGCATCTGTCGTCTCTAAACATCAAGATCCTTTGCGTTTGAAGAACTGATGAGGTCCTCCAGCTCCTGATGGCCGTAAGTTCGTCTAGCTTGTCTGTATTTAGTTGCGATCAGGAGGACATATTTCATTCTCTGGTACATGTTAGTCTTGTGAAGTTTGTGCGTGAACGTATGGAAAATGATCACAGTGAAGAATTGCAAAATGAGCGTGGTATATTTGTGGGGGTGTTTCTAGAAATATTAACCATGTATTGCAACTTGATTGTGGTTGCTTGGAAGGGTGATGTTTACAGGCAGAGATCGGCCGTATTCATAGCTCCTCGTGTTGCGCTCATATTTGGCGAAATTTTGGTGAGCAAGATAGACCGTGACCTTGCAGTGGCTGTGGATGGACTTGAGTTCAAGGTAATGCCGTATGTGGATGATTATCTTGTTTTCGCTGAGTAAAGTGCTAGTAGCAGTACTAGTTACAAGGTGCTCAATGTCTTCAAGGAGAAATGTCGTGGTTTGAACTTAACTGCCGAAGTTCCTAGGAAGAGATTCATTCAATTCCTCAACTTGAAGACCACGAATTAGCGTGAACATACCTGCTGGATGTACTTTTCGAGGTCAGTTAAGCCAATTCTGAACTGCGAGTCTCACAACTCTAAACTGGGTAAAGTGTGGATTACCATGTCTTGTCGAGTGTCCACCTTGGGTAAGTCTGGCCCACATCGAATGAAGGATGCTTTTTCCAAGCAATTCAATCGACTAGAACAGTCCATATATCCTTCCAAAACATTGGCCATTCTCAGTGAACGAGTATTCAGGAAGTTAAAAAGTGAAAGAAGGGGAGACGTTACCAGGCAAGCTCATGGTAAGGATAGGCCATTCAGTATTCCATATGTGTATGCTTTTTCTCATCGCATGCAAAAAGTGGGGAGTCAATTTGGAATTGACGCAGTATTTTGCGCCAAGAACAAGCTAGGTTGTATGTGCGCCGTGGTTAAGAGGAAAGTTGAAGGTGGCAAGACGAAAAAACGGAATGAGTGTGATGTCAAACACCGGGACAAATTGGTTCAGTCTATCATATTACACTGGCATGTGGTAAGTGCTATTTCGGCCAAACCAGACACTGTTTAAGTACCTGATAGATTACGCAAGAGATGGTTGTTGAAATTTAGGGGCGAAGCCCCTTACGCCGTGGGTCGCATGTTCCGTGTCGTCGTAGTCATTGCAGTAACCAGTTGCATGCACTGCATGTCAATAAAAATAGTGTCACCACAACATATGCAAAATGTGAATGATGATCAGTGGGGCGAAGCATTCGTCCATGCGTCCGTCTGTGCTTCCATGCGTCCGTCTGTGCTTCCATGCGTCCGTCTGTGCTTCCATGCGTCCGTCTGTGCTTCCATGCGTCCGTCTGTGCTTCCATGCGTCCGTCTGTGCTTCCATGCGTCCGTCTGTGCTTCCATGCGTCCGTCTGTGCTTCGATGCGTCCGTCTGTGCTTCCATGCGTCCGTCTGTGCTTCCATGCGTCCGTCTGTGCTTCGATGCGTCCGTCTGTGCTTCCATGCGTCCGTCTGTGCTTCCATGCGTCCGTCTGTGCTTCGATGCGTCCGTCTGTGCTTCGATGCGTCCGTCTGTGCTTCGATGCGTCCGTCTGTGCTTCGATGCGTCCGTCTGTGCTTCGATGCGTCCGTCTGTGCTTCGATGCGTCCGTCTGTGCTTCGATGCGTCCGTCTGTGCTTCGATGCGTCCGTCTGTGCTTCGATGCGTCCGTCTGTGCTTCGATGCGTCCGTCTGTGCTTCCATGCGTGTGTCCATTCATGAGTCCATCCGTCCATCCATGCGTTCGTTAATGCGCTCGTGCGTCTGTCCGTGCGTCCGTCAGTTCGTTCGCTCTGCATCCATCCATCCATCTGTCTGTTCGTCCGCTTCGCCCCACTCATCATAATTCACCTCGTATTTATGCTGCGATTTTTTTTCATACATAGGTATAGTGATGATGCCATCAGTGAACCTTCATAAACTCGAGATAGATTATCTAACCACCAAACCGGAATCGTAACCATGTGCCTTGCCTGTCCTTTGAATGTTTTTGTGAAAATAAACTTCAGTTGTTATTCCTTCTTGCCCGTATTTTTTTCGCGCGAGATGTCATTCACAATGCATAAGAGTGTTAAGTGAGAATTGAACAGACGTTTGCAGGGACATGAATGCTAATAAACAAAGAAATGCAACGGAACCTAAATGGGCGAAGTTTATTAAGCGACAAGGCGGGTTCATCAACAGTTGCAGCCGCAGTGTGTACCTGCTCTTCCCTAAACATCAAATTTTATCCTTCCCTCTTCCCCTTCTTCGGATCAGGGTAGCACACCTGGCACAGCCCTTCTATTTTCATTCCCCCTCTCTCTCTCTTTGTGTTTCAGCTCGTTAGTATCATCAACACTGTGCTGATTGCCGTGACACTCCTGTACCTCGGAAGCTACCTTGGAAAGCTGCCTGTGGTAAGTACTGAAATCAGGCCCCCTGAACAATTACACGTGACGTTTGTATTGAACCTTAAGTGTGCTTTATAATTAGGGGGCGAAAAATGACTGGTTTGTTCCTGTGGGACTTACGCACTCACTGTTTTGTAGGCGGTGCTCGCATCGATCATCTTTGTATCGTTGAAGAAGGTCTTCATGCAAGTCAGAGATTTCTACAACTACTGGAAGATCTCCAAGATTGACGGAGTAAGGATAAGTACACATACAGGCTGCACTGTTATGTGCTACATAGAAAGCTGTACAGCCATAATTTTTTTACTCTACACCTTCTTTTCTTGACCTTTAAAAACTTTATTTTTGGCTGGCCTGTAGCCTGTAACCTTTCAGAAGGAGGGTGGGGGGGCATTTTTTGAAGGGCTTGACTGTTTTAGGAAATCATTCATTTTGCAGTAATTCCCCCTGTCAAATCAAGATTTTTGGGTCGAGCTAGGTCCTGTACTGTTCTGTTTTAACTGTTTTGCTGTGGAGAGGTTGAGGTGCCTACTGCCTCGGCTACTCCATATCACAAAGTTCTGCAGCGAAAAATAAAATAATAATACAGAACGGTACCCAAAAATTAACAATACGGAAAAGAAAAAAAACATATTAGCACACTGAAACTAGATCAAATATCATGCCAATACAGTTTTCTTCACGCAGTTCCTGGTTATGAGACTTTGTTTTGTGCACATTAAGGTAAAACTGCACATTTTGCGTTTTGTATCTGATCCTGAAACTATATTTTGCTCTTTGCAGCAAGTTTGGCTCGTGACTTTCTTCTCGACAGTATTCGTGGAGGTGCAACTCGGTTTGGTCATCGGAGTAGTCTACTCACTGTTGACTCTGGTCTACAAGATTCAGAGGTATATTGTCCCTCGAATTGTCAGACAACGTTAAGCGCTCCAACAGAGCCAGACCACTGAAGGCAGTTGTAAATGCATGGAAATCGCGCCACGTTTAGGATTTAGTTAAACCAGTATCACAGCTTGAATCTAGGCATGTGGCGTTGTTGAACTTTCTTTGCAGCGCATTAGACTACAAGACCTGATTGAAGATTTTTGTCTTTTGTATTCCAGGCCAAGTACATGCATACTCGGACAAATTCCCAACACTGACTACTTCGTCCCGTTAAAGAAATATGGAATGGTAAGTCGCGAACGAGGGGCTCGTCAATCAACACAGGTTTACCTAAAAACGTCGAGAAGTCATTTCATTATTAATGCGGCTAGTTGCTGCCTTGGCGAAGGTAAGATGCTTTGTCCAACCGTATGCTTCGGCGACACTCAGTCTTGAATGATGTGCCTCTGTTCACATCTAAGCTCAATAATTCTCGTATATATAGAGCCTTGAAACTAGCATAGGTAATTCATTTTGAGCTGTTAAGTAGCGCAAGCTTCAGGGACAAGAAACAAGAGAAAGCACACAGAAGCATTAAACTTAACACTAAAATTTCTTGAACACACGCATGAAATACCGCACACCTGGGCAGTTTTACAACCGCAAGGTAACAACACTTCCATGTGATAAGCTTCACCTCATGAACAGTTACAAAAAAAAAGTGAAAAAGAGTTACGAAATCGTAACACACCTAAAAATCACGATACACCTAAAAACACACTTCTTTTTTTACATTGCGATAGAAGGCACGATGATATACTGGCCATCATCCTTGGTCATCTTTGCTGCTTCTATTTCTCACATTTTTTGGTCGGCATAAGTGAAAAGTACCGTACATTTGTAAAACTCTAGTGTACAACCACATCTTCAGCAGTGCTTCGCCACGTGACCCTGCGTACTCACCCAACCCGCCCATATATATTTCACGTGCTTCTTCAACGAAATTTAGTGCGAAGTTTAGCGCTTGTGTTTCGCTTTCTCTTGTCTCTTGTCCCTGAAACTCGCGGTACTCTACAGTTCAATAGAGAACGAAGAAGGTCGAACAACTACCTTGATAAGTTGTATGTTGTTAATTTCGGTATGATGAATTCGCTGAGGCATTGTTATCGTTTGCATTCGCCAGGCCCAAGAAGTTCCCGGTGTAAAGGTGTTCCATTTCGGTGGGCCCATACACTTCGCCAACGCGGAATTCTTCAGAGCAGAACTTTCCCGGAGAACGCTCATCCAAGTGCGGTAAGCGTAAAAGCTTTCCGGTAATACAAAAAATTGTAAAAAATGTAATCGCAAATTGTCAGACGTTAAGGCCTAAACAATAAGGCCTGTACCTTTCCGCCTGCCCTAGCATATGAGTGGATTCTTTAAATAATTTGACTTGAATATACAGACACACATGAACACGGAGAAAACAGGAAGAGGCAAACTGACAAGCGCCACTACCTTCACGCCTGCCTTAGCATATAGGTTTTTTCTTTAAGTAATTTGACTAGTTTGACTAATTTGACTAGCATACGAGTTTTTTCCATAAATAAGTTGACTTGAATATACAGACACACATGAACACAGAGAAAATAGGAAGAGCCAAACTGACAAGCGCCACTACCTTCACGCTTGCCTTAGCATACAAGTTTTTCTTAATTAATTTGACTAGTTTGACTAATTTTACTAGCATACGAGTTTTTTTTCTTGAATAATTTAACTTGGATATACATACACACATAAACACAGAGAAAATAGGAAGAGGCATTCTGACAAGCGCCACTACCTTCACGCCTGCCTTGGCATGTAAGTTTGTTCATTAAATAATTTGACTATAATATGCGGACACACAAGAATAGAGAGGAAATAGGAAGGGGCAGACTGACAAGTGCCACCTAGGGGGGCAGAGCGTCTTCATAATTCATTGAAGAAGGTAAAATTGAGAAAAGACCGACACAAAAGTAAAAAAAAAATTGAGACAAGAGGACACTGAACTTATAAGACAGAAACAAGTTTAGATGCCATTTAACTTGTTGAAACAATACCTTAGTTAGAGCTATCATAATGCTGGCACGGCTTTGATTGAACATGCAAATGGTGATATTTTGAGTAATATTAATGGGTACCCGCCTATTTCCAGTAGCACCGCACTGCTTAGAGCACATATCCTAATTCTATAGGCGAACGCGACACTTCGTGTTGTGACAGAAATGTAAGGCCGTGGCGTAAGCTTGCCGTAGAACGAGGATAAAGGTCATGACCGTATCTTACTTATTCGGAAATATGCGGTGAGAAATGATATTGAGGGCATTGGAATTTCCTCATTGTAAATAATCGTATTTTGTGGTAATATTGCAGCAAAGTGCTTGCAGCACGGAAAAATGGTACCGCCACGACCGGTCAACCACTGTGCTGGGTGAGTGAATGTTCTTGCCCATTCAAGAAAGTTTAAAAAAAAGTACAGTGTTAGTGAATGCTAATTGTACCGCGTTTTTGCGTAATCAAATAATTAAGAAATCAATCAATGAATCATTTATTTACCATGCCCTGCTAGAACAACCATTAGAATTAAGTGCACGCTAACGTTAACTATTAATAATAGTAGTAATAAGTAGGGGTAAATATGTTAGCATTTAATATTAATAAAAATACAATAAATGTTGACACCGTAATGAAGAGCTCCGAGAATTTGGACAACCTGGGGTTCTTTGACGTGCACATAAAGCTGACCACACAAGCCTTGAGAATTTTCGCCGTCATCAAAAAGGCAGCTGTGGCGGTCGGGATTCGATCCCGCGACCTGCGGATAAGCAGTTGAGCACCTGAACCACTAGACCACCGTGGTGGATATCACCATGCCTGTAAGGCTTGCGCCCTAATCTGTGGCTCTTTGTTTGTGCAATTAGAAGAGTACACGCTTTAATTTCTTTTGATCAGTCCGTTTGGATCCGTTAGCTTAGCTTTTTCATAGTTTGTGATAAGTACACCTCATGTGACCCTGAAAAAAATGATCTACATGGAAACACACAAGTCCAGAGCCCTTCTCTTTGGAAGCAAGTTTAGTGTTGTGTTATTTCATTGGGCTAGCTTTTTTCTCGATGGATCTTTTCCACATAGTTGCTCAAACTTCGGAGAGCTGGTAAAAGCTTGGTAGTTGAAAGGTCGAGAATGGCAATAAAATACAGAGCGCAGCCTTTCTTGTAAATGATTCGTCCACCTTGTGCACACCTTTCCTGTCTCGTCCAGCCATGGTGGTCAAGGCGTTACGATGCTCGATTGTCGTGGGATCACATACCACCCGCGGTGGGTGCATTTAGATGAAAGTGAAACGATAGTGCTCAGTGTACCGAAATATTAATGTGCGCGAAAAGCTCCGGACAGTCAAAATTTCCGGAGACTTCCACTAGCGCTTCCGTCGTGGTCATAAATTAATGTTGGTTTCGGATGCAAAACCCCTGCAATTATGTTATATTACCTCCTGGCTTGATTTGTCCTTTTGTGATGTGCGCGTGTACAGAAAGATATTCGTATTTGAAGTCTGGAGTTTGTCAATGCATGCCTAATTTCATAATTTTGTGGGCCTTTTTGAAATTCCTTATGGAATAGATCTTCACCCACACGCCCTATTGTATACCTTGAAGAGCTGTTGCAAAAAAAAAAACGGTCTGGTTTTCTCCCCAGATAAACGCCGTGGATCCAAGCCCACCAATGTACGACGAGCTGAGAAATTCTATTGCCAGCTTGCCATCAATGAACTTGCAGACTAAAGTACGCGTCGACGGCGATTCTTCTTCGGCTTCGTCGCTGTCCGGCCCGCCGACACCTGCGAACACTCAACTTCCCAGCCACATCGTGCTGGACTTCTCTCGGGTCACTTTCGTGGATGGCTCCAGTTCAGTTGTCCTGAAGCAGGCAAGTTCATCACGCATCTTTTCTCTCTCTCTCTCTTTCTCTCTCTTGTACCATTTATTCTTTCCCCCAATGCGAGCTAGGAAATCGTACATAAGTCTGGTTAATCGTATTTACTTGTTTCGCCCTCTATCTTGTACGCCTCGGTAGATCAGTGGCTAGGATGCTTGGCTGCTGATTCGAAGGTAGTGGGTTTGATCCCCGCCACGGCAGTGATATTTCAATGGAAGGAAAATGATTAAGGCATGTATACTGTGCGATGTAAGTGCATGTTTCTGGATTCCCTCACTACAACGCGTCCCATAATATTATGATGGTTTGGGCACATAAGCTTTCAGTCTTATGCGGTTACATTACCAATAAATAATGTAGCCTGTGCGAAACTGTAGTGCTTAGAACTTTAGCAATAGCCTAGTCTTTTGCATCCACGATGACTTTTCAGGATGACTTTCTAGAATAGATGGACTGACTTCGTCTTGCGGTCAATGCGAGCAGGTGTGATTTGGAGTTAGGTCGGCATATAGCTTTGTGATTGTACAATGTGGCTAAGTAAACTCTCGGTCTTCTCAGCATGTCAGTTTCAAACTTTTGACGTCACATTCATGCAAGGCTTCGAATTCCGAACCTTTGAAGCTTGTTGCATATAACAGTTTGTCAGTAAGATAATAACAGCGCTTTAAACGAGTATATCTTGTCGCTTATTTTAGTAATACGGCTGTATATAAAGTATAAATTGGGCAGTAGTGCTCTCTTTACAGAACAATATTTTACTTCTTGGGTCATCAAAAAGCAGGAAATCTTGCACCACTCCTATTACTAAAGGGTAGAATTATAATGCAGTACAGGGGCTGCAATACAGTATTGAGGCATCGTGTTTCACTACTTGTAATTATTGCGCATGGTCTTAACAATGATCAACGACAACATTAAATTATTTCATCTAGGCTGTTTTATGGCCGAAGCTTCTTATAATTGCCATTGGTCATACGTCCCGTGTCGTCGTTGTCTTCGTAGTAGTAGTAGTAGTAGTCAGATACATTGCATTGCTTGTCAATAAAAATGGTGTCACAGCATATCCACGGAGTGAATGATGATGGGTAAGGCGAAGCGTTTGTCAGTCCGTCCATGCTCCCGTCAATCTGTCCATCCATGCTTCCATACGTTCGTGCGTCCGTTCATGCGTCAATTCGTTTCACCCAACTCATCATCATTCACCTCGTGGATATGCTGTGATTTTTCGTTTTTGGTTTAGGCCAATGCGATCACTTAGCACTGGTGTGCACGACAAAATTATGTATTTTAGGTGTACACGTTGGAGATAATTCGATATCATGCCCGTAAATCACACTTAATTCGACACTTCCGGTTCTCAAATAAACTTTTTTTTCTGGGTTTTTTAAGATCATAGGGCGTCGAAAACTTTGAAAGCATGTCACTTTTACCGGATAGGCATTTAGGTAAAAGATTTTTCAACCCCCTCGGACCATAAAGAAAAACACTTGTGAAAAATATGAAGTCCCTCCAGAAATGCTGCCTGATGTACCATTTCTGGGCACCATAAGGAGGGGGGTGGGGGAAGGATGAAAAAATAAAATTTCTCCGGAAATGGTGCCAAAAGTACCATTTCGGAAAAAACAAAATCTCTCCAGAAATGGTGCCCAAAGTATCATTTCTGGAAAAATAAAATCTCTCCAGAAATGGTGCCCGAAGTACCATTTCTGAGCACGATATGAAATCGTCTCGAACGTGTCTGGGACACATAATTTCATCATATACACCATGCCGTTGTCAGTGATAACGGATCGCGCTATAACCTCAGAGAAAAGAAAAGGTAAGAGAGGACATTCCATGAAATCTGGCCACAGGAAGTACGGCCAAAGTGCTCTCACCAAACACCAGGGAACGCAAGTATGAAAAAAAATATAATGAATCCAACGGAATGTTATTTACAAAGTAATAACTATACACCCATATTTGGCATGTTCTTCATGCATAAAATAAATTCCTTCAATTCATTAATAAATCCCTACGTGGTTATTTTCGGTAAGCCGCACTGCCATAAACAGCATCTACGATTCGTGCCTATTCGAGTACCAGCCATATACCACCAAGCCTAGGCATGACAGCGGGAAGGTTTCATCAACGTCGGCTGCTTAGGTGTTTTCGTGTGAGGCTGCAGATGAGGCACGTTTTCACATCAAGCTTTTTGAATGACATGTTGGGCTAGTTGAGTTGTTGATTCGGAAAAAAAAGTTACAACTGCGCGAAGAAGACACCATGTAAGAAACATAACATGCCCACAAACATTGCACTTCCTGTGAGTCTTGTATGTTTTATTGCGTGGTGTCTTATTGATTGATTTATATGTGGGGTTAAACATCCCAAAACCACCATATGATTACATGCGACGCCGTAGTGGAGGGCTCCGGAAATTTCAACCACCTGGGGCTCTTTAACGTGCACCCAAATCTGAGCACACGGGCCTACAGCGTTTCCGCCTCCATCGGAAATGCAGCAACCGCAGCTGGGATTTGAACCCGCGACCTGCGGGTCAGTAGCCGAGTACCTTAGAAACTAGACCACTGCGGCGCGGCCGTGGTGCCTTATTTGCACAGATGTAACCCTTTCCCGAAGATTGTGGTGACGGAGAGGTTCTCAAAAACAGAATAAAAAACATTTTGCGGCTTTGTGCGCTGGCAAGACGTGAGCATTGTTCAACGTATGCAGCATAGCAAATCACTCCTGTGCGATGCTCTTCTCATTTGGTGCTTTTTTATTCTCAGCCACTACCTTGTCGTGGAATAATAACATTGCGGATACTTTGTATCCTGTTTATTTGATATATAGCCCGCTTGTTCCAAAATAACAAGCGCGATGAATAAAGCCGCAGTGAATTATTACCTGCATCTATTTTTATTATAACCTAGTTGAAATGAAAATTAAGCCATGACCTGAATTCGCCCGAACAGTTTAGAAATGGACAAAGTAGGACATCGCTGAACGAAAACGATAAACCGCAGCTTGCCATTTGGGCGGATAAAAGTGGTCTGAAGTCATTCACTTCAGCCATATCCAAACGTCTGTTGCGCATGGTAATGCGAAATTCGCGCTAGTGAAACCCAAACAGGAGCGCAGGTCAGTTGCTCTCACCAACAACTAGGTGCGCTAAGGTTGATGGGGCCGCAGGGATCTAAGTGAGTTGTGCAACTTAGAAATTGAAATATATTCTTCCATCCTAATAGTTCCGGGTGGTGGTCCAGCATACCGGTAGGTAGAAGCAGCTCTGCATGTATACACCATGTAAACATAGTAAGGGGCAGTTTTTCTGTCTGCGTCATTGGAAACCCACGTAGGTACTAGTATAACTGGTATCTTTTCTGTTCAGCTGTTCTCTTTTGATGCTAGAAGAGAATTCATTTGATATTTAATTTGGCACGTGTTTCACAATTGCACTTACTCTGGCAGAACAATTTCGCTTGCACTTGGTAACATCGTCCAAATGTTCAGTCATTCAACAGTTGCTCAGACAACACTTTGCTGTCGTTGCAGGTTCTGAAGGAGTATAGGAGCATCAATATTGTCATATACATTGCGTGCTGTTCTGGTAAGCTGCGATTCTTTCGAACCTCGTTTTACTTGAAGTGCGTGATGTATAAGGCTTTCGTTTTTCTTTCTTTGTCTTCGTAGCCCCCGTGTATTCGATGCTCAAAAAGGGTAAAGTTCTGGAAGAAATTGCAGCTTCCAACTTCTACCCTTCCGTGCATGACGCTGTTATGCACGTAGGAAAACGAGAAAACGTAGGTATCTTGCAAAAAGCGTTCCCACCTATCGGCTTTCAAGAAAGTTCAAACGCATTCCGATTTACCGCCATTGTTGTTATAATAGTGTGCAGATCAGTTTTCTTTTTGTATTGCTGCATGCGCACTGCTGACTGCGGTCGGATGCTCCGGAGAAACCACAGGCCTTTTGGTGTGGGTTAATGATTAGCAGCAAGAATAAGAATCCGAGCTGAGACATGACAAGACGCATGCATGAAACAGTACACGCATCTGTATCCTCTTCATATGGACGTATTTGCATGTAGGATTACATATATATCTTCAGAACGTTATTTGTTCTTATTTTGTCTCTGCAGTTATTTTGTCTCTTCAGTAAGGGTAACTTCAAGCTTGATCGCACGCCTTGTTTTTTTTTTGCAATATTGCAGTGCAGACCACAGTTCTTGAACATACAATGGGCGACGTATTTGAAATGAGCTGGTATACTTGGCCATCCGGTGCTGGTGTTATTTCTACATGTAAAATGCAATTGCTATAAGGAAAATATTGGAAGTTGTTCATGACTTGGCCTTATAAACTGCGTGAAAGTGAATGTTAAATCTCTTGTTTTTGATATTAGGAGCCACCATATGCCTTCGCAACTATATGAAGGTGAACGGATGGACACGAACTAAGATTCCCTGCGTCTACCTCGCAAGCGGAGGAGTTGTACATACAGCACTGAAACCAAAGACGCTATTGACTTGTCTTTTGACAGAAAAAAAGACATACTCCAGCGACTTTCGTAGTCATTCATGACAAACCACACTTGGCGAACATGATTCCTGCACGTCTTCAGTACTTTTAATTGCATTAGGTATATCATCAACTAATTTTAACATCCGCATGTTTTTACGCAATACGTGGCCTTGTAGCCCTCCTAATGTGTAGAGGGAAACTTGGATTATCTGCGCAATAAAAAGACGGGGTGACAATAAACTGTCTCTCACGACTATCGGCATTGTTTTTCTCTCTACTAGGTGTAGATGCCTTAGCCGTTGTCCTGGTTAAGCTGGCCGACTTGGCCGGTATTTTATGAATCCTGGTGACACTTTTCATTCAGCATCTCTACCAACTTTTTGTGTCCATGCCTCGAGCCAGACAATGTTTTCTGGCGTCCGTAAACACAGATGCAAGTTTTCCGGAACTTCTATAGTGGCCATTTTCTCTCAAAATAGCCCTAAAGATTAGTTATAAGCATCCGACGCAACCTCAAAAATTTTAAATTTCTAAAGACTATAGCCTTGCCATTTTCTCTCAAAATCATGCCGAATACAACATTTTTAAAACGCGTCAAAACGTCAAAAAACCGAAATATAGCGGCTCTCCGAAGGCTATAAATTCGTGATTTTGTTTCAAAAGTACCCTAAAAATGAAGTATAAGCATTTGAGGCAACCTTGAAAAATCGAACATTTCCAAAGGCTATAGTCTTGCCATTTCTTCTCGAAATTATGGCTGATATAATTTATTTAAAACGCGTCAAAAGGTCAAAAAATGGGAATATAGAAGTTCTCCGAAGGCTATAAAGTCGTCATTTTGTCTCAAAAGGGCCCTAAAAATCATTTATTAGCATTCGACGCAACCTTGAAAAATCGAAAATTTCCAAAGGCTACAGTCTTGCCATAGTTTCTCAATATCGTTAAAAAATGAACTGAAACGCTACATAACGTCGAAAAACAAAAAAAATGTTGCTCTCTGAGGCTATAAAGTCGTCATTTTGTCTCAAAAGGACCCTAAAAATGATTTATCAGCATCACACCCAACCTAGAAATTTTGAAAATGTCCAATGGCTATAGTCTTCCCGTTTTCTCTGAAAATAACGCCTCAAAACGTCAATAAATCGAACATACACATCCCTTGAGCCTTTCTTTTCAAAAACACGTAAAAATTTATCCAAATCATCCGCCAACCTAGCGGAAAAGACAAAGCGTTCGCGGCATCAGTGTGGGAAACCTGTTTCTTTCACATTGTACGTTATCGTCTCGAAGCAAGAACGCTTGCACATCAAGATGTAGTGGCTGACATCTGCAGCTTCATTGCATTCAGTGTACACCTTGGAAGTAGCACCACGTACGGTAAGTACGCATCACTGCAGGAGGAGCGCGTTTTTATTCCGTTAGGAATGACTCTTGTTAACAAGGCTGAGAGACTGCAAGGTGGACACTATGGTGACTTGGCCTTTGAGGAATTAAGTGTTTAAGCACTAGGGTCCGGGAACTAACCATCCTGAAAGGGCACCACCGTTTACTTCCGGGGTGTTTCACAATTGGCAGTCGTGCCCTAACTACGAAGTGTGAAAGGCTGTTTAGCTAAGCAACCAACTGTATGAAGAACGAAAATATCTGCTCTAAGCGACGACAATCCACTATTAGCATGATTCGTGGCATCAAGCATCGAATAAGCGATGCAGATACAATACCGTGGCAATCTTCAGCAAGCCAGAAAGTCTCTACAAAATTTATTGGGCAGAGTGTCTACGTAGAGCCATTATTTAGAGAAGAAAACTTTTTTCCTGAAGGTGAGAAAACGGCGAGTAGCCTATCACCTACGCTAGCTCTAGCCAAACACTTCGTTAAACCTTCTGTTCAGAAGCTGATATGCGGTGAGGGTGGCGATCAATGGCACGAGATCCGCCTGGGTTGATGCGGTGAGCGGCCACCGTTTTCATCATCGGCTCGAATTCATCATCGACTCGAATTTCATCATCGGCTCGAAAAAAGTGAGTCGATGGTTCGAATCCTGCCGGCACTTGCCTGGGAAAAATGATATGGCGGATTCTATGGCCGAGACCAGCTATCAGAGAAGGTGAAGGCTGAGCCCAGTCTCGAGGCATGCAATGGCAGGGCCATCCAAGCACTTCTAACCGTAGAGACCAGCCGTCAATCGTACTAGAGAACTCCGTCCGGAGTTCAAAAGCGCTATCATGGCTTTTATATTTTTATTGAATTTTCGAATAAATTATCAAAATACCCCTGGTTCCCTGCGCGGGACATGGTACCGGGTCCCCACGCAGCATGTTGGGACACTGGGGCGACGCGTCGCAGCCCCTTAAAGCCCGCCTTTACCCTGTTTAGCTACCGGTGGGTGGCCGGCTGGCACTTGGGATCGAACCCCGCACCTCCCGTAGCTGAAGCGGACGCGTACGTGCAATGCCACAGCTACGGTGAAGGCTGTAGACGGCTACATATCCGTCTCAAGAAATCTTGAAACAGTTAAAAAGAAATCTGAATAACTGACGGCCTCATTCTAGGTAGGAGGGCCCCCTCAACAGTGTCCACAAACACATAGTTCGGAAAGGCATATATTGAAACTTCCCGTTTCTGATTGATTTTTATTGCTATTCCCAGAGCGGGATTCGAACCATCATTCGCTCGGTTACAAGCTCAACATTTTAGCCCCTTGACCACTGGAATGGCACAACAATCGCTGCTTATAAGCTGTAGTCTGTGCATTATTGCAGAGCTTGTTCATTAATATGTAACAATAGTGTTGTCTGGATTATTTTTATTATATACGAGCGAAGTACTAAAATTGCTGGCCCAAATCGTAATGAAGGTTATATGCATTTTCTCATGAAATTTGGTGCAATATTCAAATATTCAAAATACCAAGCATCAAAGAATAGGCCATTCTCAACCTCGCAAAGTCGATAAATATGCAACTTTTCAAAGGATTTACGCTTACCATTTTATCAAAAATGGTCTTAAAATTGAATTACGCAATATGCTTCTCAACCTCGACAAATCGACTAATTGGCAAGTTTCCAAAGGCAATAGGCTTGACATTTTATCAAAAATGGCCTTATAATTGAATTACTCAATATGCCAAGCAAACTCGAAAAATAAAAAAATTGATATATTCCAAAGGCTATAGGCTTCCGAATTTACCAAAACTGGTCTTAAAATTGAATTACTCCATGTGCCACGAAAACTCGAAAAATCCATAAATATGAAATTTTTATCAAAAATGGTCTTAAAGACTCACAATTCACAAAATTCACAAAACTCACAATTTAATATTGGAGCATAGCCTGCATAATGAACGCAACAACTTTTACACCGTCTTATCATGCCGTGGCAGAATAGCCGAGTCGGTAAGGTGGTAAGCTCTAAGCCGGATGGCCGCTGGTTCCGCATCCGACGCAACCTCAAAAATTGTAAATTTCTAAAGACTATAGCCTTGCCATTTTCTCTCAAAATTATGCCGAATACAATATTTTTAAAACGCGTCAAAACGTCAAAAAATCGAAATATAGCGGCTCTCCGAAGAATATAAAGTCGAGATTTTGTCTCAAAAGTACCCTAAAAATGATTTAAAGGCATTCGACTCAACCTTTCAAAATCGAAAATTTCCAAAGGCTACAGTCTTGCCATAGTTTCTCAATATCATTAAAAATGAACTGAAACGCTACATAACGTCGAAAAACAAATGTTGCTCTCTGAGGCTATAAAGTCGTCATAAGGACCATAAAAATGATTTATCAGCATCATACCCAACCTAGAAATTTTGAAAATGTCCAAAGGCTATATATAGTCTTCCCGTTTTCTCTCAAAATTATGCCGAATATAAATTATCTAAAATGCCTCAAAACGTCAATAAATCGAAGTATAGAAGCTCTCCGAAGAGTATAACGTCATTATTTTGTCTCAAAAGGGCCTTAAAAATGATTTATAAGCATTCGAAGCAAGCTCAAAAATTTGAAAATTGCCAAAGGCTATAGTCTTGCCATTTTTTCTCAAAATTATGCCGAATGTAAATGATTTAAAGTAAGACAAAGCACCGAAAAGGCCAAAAGTAGAAGCTCCCCGAAGGCTATAAAGTCGTCCTTTTGTCTTAAAATGGCTCTAAATCTGAATTATTAGCATTCGATGCAACCTAGAAAAGTTGAAATTAGCCTTTCGATTTTGTTTTCCAAAGATTGGGCGCCAAGGCTCAGACACGTCAATTCGCCATTTAATATTGAAGAATGCCCTGCATAATGTACACAACTTTTACACCGTCTTATCATACCGTGGCAGAATAGCCGAGTCGGTAAGGTGGTAAGCTCTAAACGGAGAGGTCACTGGTTCAAATCCTGTTGCCAGTAGGGTGGAAAAAAAAAAACAAGGCGATGCAGTGAATGGCGCTAATACGCCTAAGCTTGCTGTTTGTTTTTATATTTGACCTGCAAAACATTGTGCAGAGCAAGTTCTAATTTGTGTATCCTGTGTCGAGGCAGTAGCCCAGTGAATATGGTGTTCAGCTCATAACCGAAAGGTTGATGGTTCGAAATACAGAGCGGAAAGTGCCGCAACACCAGGATATCATCCAGATACATAAGTATCAACCCTGAAATGCGCGCAATGCCGCACACCAAAAGTTAAAAACGGATTGGTACTCTGCAGTTGTGGCTTACACGCCTGAAAAAAAAATCTGCTATCAAATAAAATGATGCTTTTATTTTTCTTGAAAAAAACATTTTTTTTTTTGCAAAAGTAGGGGCCACGAGCTACGGCGGCTCTGGACTTGCCGAAGGTCCAGGGTACCCAATAGCCGCCATGTAGCTCAAGCAACCCCCCCGAGCATGATAAGCTTCGCCGTGCCGGAGCACAACTGCAAAGCGCTCGCGTTAACCCCGAGAAATCCCCAGGGCGAGGGGTGTTCCACTGTGGATTGAGCCAGGTCCGGGTAACACATCCCTCTTGCCTTTGAATCCGGTGGCTTTCCGGCCGGTAACCGGTACGGCATTGAACCCGGCACCTCCCACATCGGAAGCAGACGCTCATACCATTATGCTACCTCTGTGGTGAGAGCTTCAGTGACAAATAATCAGGGTCAATTTCGTGAAGGCGGCCAAACTTTGAAAAAATAAAGTTTCTAATCCTTTAACGAATACTTTTTCGCAATGAGGCCGGCATCGGGATTTGAACCACTGCCCATCCAATTGTGAAACAAGCACTTTACCACTCGGCTACTGCC